GTGATGCTACTGCACTAGTCGGTGGCAGTCCCATTTACGTAAACAGGGTCGCAATTAGGACCCCGCCTTTTAGCAAGGATCGGCCCGCATTGTGGTTTGCTAGCCTAGAGGCGCAGTTCCACATTAACCAAATTACCGTCGAAATGACGCAGTTTCATTTCGCCGTGGCGCATTTAGATACCGAGTGTACGAAGGAGGTCGAAGATATTATCACACATCCTCCCGAGTTGCAATCATACACAACTTTAAAAAGCGCAATCATATCTAGATTCTCCGATTCCTTCGAGGAGAAGGTGCGGCGCTTACTAGAAAAGGAACAGTTAGGTGACCGCAAGCCATCTTCGTTCATGCGACACTTGAAGAGTCTGGCTGGGCAATCGTTCCCCGCTGACTTGCTGCGATCAATTTGGGCCAATCGGCTTCCCCGGCAGGTTCAAATTGTGTTGGCCGCACAGAAGATCCAGGACTTGACGGAATTGGCGGAGATGGCCGACCAGTTGGTGGAGTTGACCGAGAGGCCTACCACCGTGAGCCAGGTTTCGGCGCATCATACCTTTGAGTCCACTCTCGCGTCAATGCAGCGGCAGATCGAGGAATTGACGCCAACAGTCTCAGCGCTCAGAACAAACACTCATGAACGATCTGGGAGCTCACGCGTTAATCAAAAGCGGAGCCGCTCTCGATCGCGCTCACGCCCACGTAACCAGAAGCTTTGCTGGTACCACGATCGTTTCGGCAACAAAGCAAGCAAATGCATACCAGGATGCAGCTGGACCATTGAAGGAGCTACCAAACCGGAGCGGTCGGACGTGGCAAGTACCGACCGCGCACAGTCCAGCAAACGCCTTTTTATTACCGATCAAAATACCAAAATTATTTTTTTGATAGATACCGGTTCGGACATTTGTTGTTTTCCACGAAAAACTTATAAAAGGACGTTTCTCAAATACAGGACTTACTCTCAATGCGGCAAATGGCAGCTCCATTAAAACTTACGGCACAGTTAATCTGAACCTCAATTTAGGACTGCGCCGTGAATTTCGCTGGGAGTTTATTTGTGCTGACGTAGATGTCCCAATTATCGGTTCGGATTTCCTAGCTTTCTTCCACCTCCTACCCGACTGCCGTAGCGGCACATTGCGCGATGAGCTTACAAACTTATCCGCATATTGTTGTAAACGCAATATAATGCAGCCAAGTATTAGGACCGTAAAAAAACCGTCTCGCGATTCCCTGTTCAGTCAACTCTTTTTAGACTTTCCGGAAGTAACGCGCCCACCTACAGCTGACCATCAAATAAAACACAGCACTGTTCACTATATAACGACAACTAGTGGGCCGCCTGTCACGTCGCGTCTTCGTCGACTAGCACCCAACAAGCTAAAAATTGCTGAGAAGGAATTTAATGACATGGTGTCGGCGGGTACTGCTCGCCCATCTAAAAGCCCCTGGTCGTCACCACTGCATTTAGCACCCAAAAAGGATGGCATGTGGCGTCCTTGCGATGACTACAGGCTCTTAAACGCTCGGACAGTTCCCGATCGGTACCCTGTGCGTCATATAGGAGACTTCAGTCATAATCTGGCTGGTTCTACTATATTTAGCACATTAGATCTGGTAAAGGCCTACCAGCAGATTCCGGTAGCTGGTCCAGATGTTTGCAAAACGGCCATAATAACGTCATTTGGTCTTTTCGAGTTTCCCTATATGTCATTTGGGTTACGCAACGCTGGCCAAACCTTCCAGCGTTTCATCGATGAGATCTTGCGCGGACTAGACTTCGCTTTTCCCTACATTGACGATATTTTGGTATTCTCACGGGATGCTGAAGAGCACGCCAAACACCTGCGCATAATCCTGCAAAGACTGGTGGACTATGGCGTCGTTGTCAATGTGGATAAGTGCGTATTGGGGGCATGTGAGGTAATCTTCCTAGGTTATAAGATAACCAAGGATGGTATCTGCCCACCTGAAGAGAAGATCGCTGCTCTCCGCGAGTTATCGCTTCCCAAAACAGCTCAAGGTTTGAGACGCTTCCTGGGGATGGTAAATTATTACCGCCAATTTCTTCCCAAAGCCGCCAAGCTCCAAGCTCCACTTGTGGATTTTTTAACAGTCAGCAACCAAAAAGGTTCAAAAGCTATGCCCTGGACAGCAGACTTGGAGCGTGCTTTCTACGAGTGTCGCGACAGTCTCTCAGAGGCCACCATGCTTGTACATCCGCAACGAAATGCTCGTTTAGGGTTGTACACGGACGCCTCCAGCACTCATGTCGGCGCTGCCTTACAGCAAAGGTCTGATCAAGGCTGGCAGCCTTTGGCATTCTTTAGCAAAAAGCTAACACAGAGCCAAAGTACATGGCCCGCGTATTACCGCGAACTTCTCGCAGTGTACGCGGCCGTACAGCATTTCCGGCATATACTAGAGGCACAACACGCGACAATCTACACGGACCACAAGCCGCTTCTTTATGCTTTCGTCCAACGCCGTGAAAAATTGCCCCTGCTCAACTTAACCAACTCACGTTTATTTCCCAGTTTACAACTGATATCAAACATGTGAAGGGGGAAGACAACATCGTTGCTGACACAATGTCCCGCATTGAGGCTATCACGCTCGATGACGATTTCGCAGCCCTGGCAAAAGCTCAGCAGACGGATGACGAACTTAAAACCGTAAAGGTCCATTCTTCTTTACAGTTAGAGCCAACCCTCATACCTGGATCCAACATTTCCGTTTTGTGTGATGTGTCAACAGGCAAACCTAAAACTAAACCCTTTTTGCCAAAACAATATCGGCGAGCCGTCTTCGATCGCCTACATGGTCTCAGCCACCCCGGCGCACGCGCTTCCGCGCGCCTCATTAGCGACCGCTATGTTTGGCCAGGCATTGCTAAAGACTGCCGCTCCTGGGCACGCGAGTGTCTCGCCTGCCAGAGCAGCAAGGTAACGCGCCATGTCGTTTCACCGCTTGGCAACATTAGCACACCTTCAGGCAGATTCCGTCATGTTCACCTGGACATTATTGGACCGATGCCTTCTTCAAACGGATTCACTTATTGCCTAACAGCAGTAGACCGTTTCTCACGCTGGCCCGAAGTTTGGCCCATGTCGTCGATAACCGCAGTAGAAGTCGTTGATCAATTCACCCATGGCTGGATTGCTCGCTTTGGTGTACCGATCACTGTCACAACGGACCAGGGACGTCAATTTGAGTCCCAACTTTTCAACAGACTGATGGATTTAGGAGCCACAAAACGCGTTCGTACTACGTGCTATCATCCACAAGCTAATGGGATGATAGAGCGTTTCCACCGCCATTTAAAGGCCGCTTTAATGTGTCACAAGAGTTCTTGGTACCATGCCCTACCTTTCGTTCTTCTCGGAATCAGGGCGGCACTAAAAAATGACATCAAAACGTCAGCTGCAGAAGTTTTGTATGGGGAACCGCTACGCCTACCAGGCGAGTTCCTGGTGGCTAGCAATTCCCCTCAGACCGTGGACGATGATTTTGTTGCACAGTTGCGAAAATGGATGGCAGAACTTCGCCCCGTTCCAGCATGACGTCACACGAATTCTAAAACTTTCGTTTTCAAAGACTTACCTGATGCTACTCACGTGTTCCTCCGCGAAGATTCCGTTTGACGACCTCTACAACCACCTTATACAGGCCCCTACAGAGTGTTGAAGAGATCTGAAAAGACACTTACCTTAGACATTTCTGGCCGAAGATCTGAGGTTAGCATCGACAGAACAAAACCTGCGTATATTGCACCTGACCCAGACGGCAATCCGTCCCCTAACAACTTGGCACCGGAGCTCCCAGTCCTTCCGACTCTTTCACCTCCTATTAGCCAAACGGCCGTGCCCATTAAAACGCCCGCACAGCCTGTAACAACCCGGTCAGGTCGCAAAGTTAAATTTAAAGATATTTTAGATTTATAAGTACTAGTTTTTAATACGTTATTTTTGTTAAAGCAGAGTTTTTTCAATTTTAAGTTTCCAATGTTTATTTTTTCGTTGTATAAATTAAAATTCCATTAGTTAAAAATTATCCTAAATAATGTTGCTTGTACTTTTATAATAACAGTGTATAATTATTTGATTGTTTCATTTTTTTATACTTGTTTTGCCTTCAATGTGTACTTATTTTTCTCCGTAGGGGGGTGATGTGGCGACTCATTTGCTACTGTGTAGCACCGCTCTTATCTTTTACACCCCTTACTCTCATCGGTCTAGCATTACCCTATTATTGACAAATTTCTATAGCAACGAGTGACAATAAAAGATTGTTTTTCTCAACACGGCTTGTTCTTTGTACTGCATCTTAAATATTCCCTCCTGCCGGCTCCCAAACATAGTTCGGAGATACCTGCGAACCACTTCTAATGATGTTGCTGGGCTGATAACAAGTTAAACTGAAGAAAAAAAACTACAGTGCTTAAATTTTTTTCCAACGTTTTATTTTATCTGTCATGACATAGTTTTTCCAATTTCCATAGAGTTGACACATCGGCATTGACAAGCACGACATAAGTTAAAAACGGAAAAGGAAATCGGCAGAATCAAATTTTGGAATAAAACGAATTAAGTTGATTAAGTAAATAAATCGTGAGTGAAATTGCTTTATGTATATTGTAATATATATTCACAGAAAAGAAAACCGTTCATATCATAAACTTTATTTTATAAATAGATGTAGGGTAACATTTATGCTAAGATTTATATAGGTTAATATTAATGCTTAGATGTGATATATGTGTCATATACCTATACCGTATTTCCTTATTTACATTGTAGGTATAGATTTAAAAAGTATATAAGTAGGTATAGAAAAAAATACAATTATTTTTTTTTTCGAATGTATTGAAATTTTGTCGTTAGTTATTTAAACTAAGTTTTTCATTGTTTTATTGTGCTTTTGTTTGAACTCAAAAATTTTTTTCAATAAAGCATATTTAAATTGTATTTAAACTACTGCTTTTGCAGTCTCACTATCTAAGCAGTACTCATAACAGCAATGGCAGCGCCCTTTGCAGCATCTCCACCAGATGTAAACACTAGTGGTAGACTATAGAAATTTTCCACTGCTCTTTGGAGCACAGCATTCCTAGATAACCCAGAACCATTACCAACAATCCTTTTTATATTTGCATTTTGTAAGATTTGCCGTGGCATCATGATGTGTAGATTGTCAATCAAACTATCACAGAGAGATCTAAACACATGGCCTAATTGAATGTTAGATAGATCAATATTGTCCACTGCAGCCTTGGAAGCAGGTGCATGTCTTTCACCCAACAAATGTGGACAAATTTTCATTGTAGATGTAGATGGTGCTTCCAAGCCGAGGGTGATAAGTTTCTCCCAAACTTTTGATTGCGGAATGGGAAATCCAAATTCAAGCATCCACTGCTGAAGCATTTTCACAAAAGTGGCAAGAACGTTTCCACCATTCAATGATGCTGCTACTACTAAATAAGTATTACTAAAATATGGCAAATGTTCTAAAGTTTTACATCCTAGATCTTCAATTTTATTGACTATGAAGGCAAGTTGAGCAGATGTGGATATATTTAGAACAGCATCTTCTTTGCTCTCTAATGTTGCAATGATAGAGCATTGAAGATCTCCAAGGGCTGCTCCTACAGGAGTCCCCTCTGGAATTCCATTCCAGGAGGATTTTAGTACACCTGCAATTTCACCACTCTTGACTACTTTAGGCAAAAGGTTGACAGGAAAATTAATTGACTTTAAAATATCAAAGTTCCATTGATTATCTTCTGTATTATAATAGCCCCAACTGGCAGCATTTTGATTAGACATTATTGGATTTTCCAAGTCACACAGCATAGCCACTACAAAGTCTTGTACTGTGGAGGAATGATGAAAATTCTTAAGTTTTTCTGGTTTATTCTTGAGCATCCACAAAAGTGTTGCGCATCCATATCCTGAATAACAGTTCAGGTGTGAATCTGGTTTTGGCAAGGAGTCGAGAAATTCTGGTTTACACCTTGTATCTTGCCATGTATATAATGCAGACATTTTTTCTCTGGTAGCTTCATAACGCATTACTACCCCATCTTTTTCTACTTTTTCCCAAGCTCTGAAAAATAAATATTAAATTACAATACAATTAATAAAATAAATTGATAATATTATTTTACATTAAGAACTTGTCAAATTAGTTGTTCCAATCAAGTGTTTTAGTCATTAAAAATAAAATAACAAAAACAAATTATGTAAACCAATGAATAATTGTTGCAGAGGAACATTTTATTCCTGGTGTTACCCATCATTCCATAGCACAACACCGTGCATTTGTCCACAAACGCCAATCTTCGTGACATGCCGTAAAACATCTCTCGGGAGCCGGGACACGCAGTAGTGGACAGCTGATACTATTTTTGGAACATCCTGTTTGTTCCCTTCTATGCCTTGATCACTAGGGATATTCGCGGCGGTGTCCTTACTCTGTTTCGCGACAATTTCTTTTAATTCGGGATCGTATACGCACACTTTCACTGAAGTCGTGCCAATGTCCATGCCTAACACATATTGTTTATTCGACATTTTTTTTATTAAATCAAAAAGACCGTGTATTATGTGCACCGTTGCAGCTTGACACAAGAACGGTAGACAGATGCGTCTTTGATTGGTTCCCTTGCACTAGCGATGTGATACTGAGAGTGAGAGCAGAGCGCACCGCTATTGCAGGGAGGTCCGCGCGTCTCTGTCGTCGCGTCGAAATACTTGCGCCGCGTCGCGTGTTACGTAAATTCTGTGTATATGACATACATCATCGAGTGGCTGATTCTTTTATCGCTCGCTACTGGCTGGCGTTAATGAAAAGCAATAAATAAACTCTTGTGACTTATCTCCGCGATATAGGGCCAATATTGTTTTCGTTTAGCTTAGTATACGCTCTTTTTTTGGAATATTTTCAATGCTTCGTTCTATTAAAATATTGGTCGTTAATTGTATGCAACGAGTTTTGAATCATAATTGCTTTTTAATTGCTGCAAAGAAACAGCTTCGTGATATACGTCCAAGTATATGTCAACAATTTTTTTCATCAACTTTTCTATAAAAAACCCGTTCTTTGGTTTCTTGTATTGTATTTTTATAATATTGAAAGCTACATCTGAGTAATAGTCTCCTTAAAAATCTTTTAAAAAAACGTTTATTTTTAGAATTTGTGAGATCGGATTTTTATTAGAAGAAAGATCCCTTTATTGCGTTTCTACGCAGGAAAGTTTTTGTGTAGATGGTGTATTTCCTTATCACACCGCATAAACGGATTTAATAAAAATTCAGAATGGAGATAACTTGTACGCTGGATTAACACGCCACGGTAATTTTAATCTTTAATATGTTTTATTTTGAATAATACAACGCAAGCAAAGTTGACTGTAAATGAAATTCTTTATTATAGCATTCTAAGGTACTATAAAATTTTATATTTACTGCCGTGATACGTCACGTTAAACTTGACGTCAGCCTCCTTGAGAAACAGCACTCACATCCGGAACACAAATATATCTCATGTGTGGGAATCGAACCCACGACCCCCTGCACCGTATAGCTAAGCAAGTACACCAACATGTGACGTATCTTGTATCTTGTATTAACTGATGTTTTTGCTTTCAGTCCCGAGACTATTAAAGCTTCATCTGACGCAGAACCGATGGGCTAGCCAGAACCCACAGGTTTGGGCCCTCCGCTGTGGGTAGGGTCACGCATGTGCTCATGCGTGCCTCGATGGCCCTTAGATGGTGTGTCATCTAAGGGCCATCGAGGTCGTGGTTCGGACCGAAACCCCGATGGCCGTCGACTGTGCAATTAGCTAATCGGTGGCTGGGGGCGGTGAGAACCGCCCCGGAACGCGGGTGTACCTTGTGTACGCGTTGTGTTGGTCTCGCCGTGCTCGGAGGCGAGGGCGAACTAGTGTGTTTGTTGTTGCACTAACTGTGGGTGTAGTGTTGTCCGGCGGGACCCCCGGCAGTGGGTCCGGCGTGTCTAAGTCCCCTTCCTCGACCGGGTCGATTAGGACGTTTCGCGGGCGACGCTTGTTGACGTTCGCGTTTTTGTCGGGTTGGTAATTTGCTGCGCTTACCACCAGAGGGTTGGGATGATGTTCGGCTCTATCGAAGAACCGTTTGGTCAGGTCTTTAAAATATTCGCGAATCGTCGGGAGTCTGCAATCGCTGTGCAGGTCGAAGTTGCGTTGATACCACTGCGCACCGGTTGCGCGGCGGATGAACTTATTTTGTACTATTTGCAACTTGTACAAGCGAGTAGGGTGCGTGTGGGCGAAGGTCATGCATGCGTAAGACATAATAGGTCGTACGCAGGTCTTATATAATAATTTTGTGCCTTAAGGGCATTTTACTTTTAGCGTTAGTTAAGTTGTGTATCCGGCCGGAGACGAACGCGGCTCTATTGCGAACGTTATTAATGATTTGCGTAGTAAATGACATACCTACGCGAGTCGAAAGTGACTCCTAAGTATTTGACCTACATGTGACGTGCGACAAAATATGCCTAACATTTATTTATCGAAAGACGTGTTTCTTTTATTACCATTTTAACTAAAACTTGGCCGCCCTTATGATTGGCAACAATCCTCTTTAACGCCTATGTAATACGATCCGTGTAAGTTAGATTGAGGTGTATAAGGAAAATATATTCGCTCTTCATTTCACGTTATGCATTTTAATTTTGTATTCTGAACTTCCAAAAGACAACTTTACCAAGGAGGGTTGACGTCAGGCATGCGGCCGGTCGTAAAAACCGGTACAACATGATTCACATGTTGTGCCGACTCCACCTAGAAGGGATAATGGAAGGAGAATGATGATGATGATTAAAACTTTGTGTACTACATAACTACTGGCTAATTCTGAGACAGTTTGCTGGCTAATTCTGAGACAGTTTGCTGGCTAATTCTGAGACAGTTTGCTGGCTAATTCTGAGACAGTTTGCTGGCTAAATCTGAGACAGTTTGGGATATTACGAACGCCATCGCTTCGATCCTTTGCCATTAGATACTTATCCCATTCATTACAATGCCGCCAATCTTCAATGCCCTGGTGTTGCAAATGTTAATGGGCAGCGGTGAACCTCTAGATGACCTGCCTGTTCGTTTGCCTCCTTATCGATAAAAAAATGCATGACATCATATAAGTCTAATTCACTCGAAGATTACTTTATACCAAACGTAAGTGGCTAACGACTATGATCGGTGCTTTGCATTCATTGGACAATAACCTTTAATGTAGCAACCTTATGATGTCACTTTATCAATTCATTCTATTTATAGAAATAAATATTCTATCGGCCTATTAGAGTCTTACGAAAAATATTCTTTAATTTTTAAGCAAAATTCTGAGAGGCTAGACATTTTTGTATACGACACTGTGTTTTGAATATAAAGTAAATTCAGTTCTATAGTTATAGTAAAAATGTAAGGTATTTTGACTTTGGTGACTTTCGAGCTGCGTTGATGTTTGTTGCTGCCATGTTGGTACAAATTGAACATTTACGTACTTGGACATAAGCTTACGTAATATTTTTTCAGTTCTATGTGTCTTATTAGGAAATTTGGAACAAATACTGTATAAAAAGGTTTTTTTTAAGTCGGCATCATCGATTAGAATATTATTTCATGTCAGTTTGTGCAAATATGAAGGTAAACATCCCGAGGAAAAACTTTATCACAAAAGTTACTCATATTATATTCTTTTCCCTATAGACTAGATCTGTTCGAGTATTTTGGGCTACTTGTATACATTATTGCAATAAAATCAATTGGATGCAAGATCGCGTTTTTGAATTCAACCAAATTCCGTCGGGGTTATTTTAAGACTGAACTGTAAACAATATGTTCATAGCCAGAATCAAATATAAAATAATTTTGATCACAAAGTCACAAAATTAAAAGTTATTTTCAGTAACGATAATTTTAATTAACAATGACGATTTTGACTCCAGATCATGGGCAAAAAACGAAAATCTCAAGCCAACACTGAAGTTGATGGAATTGTGCAAAACAAAATAAAAGCGAAAAAAGTAAAACACATTGAGATCAAAAACACTGAAATCGATAAAAATCCAAACACTATCATAAATACTGTACGGCCTGTTAATAAACTTGACAACAAAAGTGATAGTTCGAAACCGAAAAAGATAATATTTGTCGATGACCAACCACAAGAGGTTCCAGTAATACAAGATGTGAAAAAAGAAGAACCTCAAAAGGTTGGAACAGGACCAAACATTAATATTTTACGAGAAGAGGACATAAGGGACGAAGATATTGACAAATTCTGTGACGAATTAGACGAAGAAGACAATAAGCAATATGAAAATTGGGTGGAATTAATAGAAGCCAATTTAAGATCAAATAAAAAGAAACCTAAATAATATTTTGTATTTATTTTATCTAATTATAACTGATGTTGAAAATGTTTATATCTTGGATGTAAAATTATAATCTGGTCAGATACAACACGTTCATATAACAAATTGGATTGGAAAGTTAATGTTGAAAACTTTGTTGGCAGTTATTGAATTCAACATTTAAACATCTGAAACGTAAATTCGAAACATTAGTTTACGTGACGTAGGTGTTTTTTATTTTTAAGTTGTAAATTTGTCCAGAACGGCAGTGAATTTAAAAAAAAAACTTAATTTTTATAATTTTAACAACGACAATTTTTTCACAGCAAAACCCTCAGTATGTTCAGAAACAAATTTTATTTTATAAAATTAAATTTTTATCCGGTACCTATGCAGATTAGTGAAGGTAAACGATCTTGCTTGAGATTTTAGATTAGGGCAAAATCCATAGATGATATAAATATACTGAAAAATGACAAAATCTCTAGTAAAAACTTGACGTGTCGCTTAGTTTATTGATTAATACAAAAAGTCATACATATATAATATATTCACATTTTTCCAAAATTCCATTATATCGATTATATTCAGATATACAAACTTATTCATAATACCAGTAAAAATAGACGAAACTATTACTGCTAGTTAACTATGTATATGTATTATGGTCTGTGAAATGACGATTATTATAAGTTTAAGTTAAAAAAAACCGACGAGATCGAAAGAGACGAATGGACGATTGCGAGTTTTTAGTGGAGATAGTGTTCTGATTTGTGAGACAGGCATTTATGCTATTTTGATGTTTTTTTTATTTCTATCTTAAATTGTACGATAAGGATGCTTTGATAATGCTAGGGAATGAAGCAAAACTAGATGAAAAGTATCCCAATATCTTTTCAAGCTTTGAAAAAATAAAATAAAAGAAAAATATTTGTATTTTGTATGTCTAAGTACATATGTATGTTGTACACAAGTTGGTTCAATATGATGGAATCTACATCAGTGTTTCCCACACTTTTTTTGCCATGCTCCACCTTAGCCTTTCTAAAAATTTTATGCCCCCCTATGTGACATAGGCACATCATTTTTAATATTAAAATAAAATATTGTTTACTTAAGAAACTTAAATCATAGATTTGAGGAAG